CGTCCGTAAATCATGATCATGCTACAGTAATGCCCTCCTACCCCAGAAGCGACCTACGCGCCTCCCAGATTGTGCAAACTACTAGTGAACACCTCGAGGACTCCCGATTATTTGCCCTCCCATTAGCAGATGACCCCGTAAGCAATCTGTGCAAGCTAGTTTGCAATCGTTCCATAACCGATCGAGATGATATCAGCTCGAGTACTAAAGTTCTCTGGCGAATAGACAGATGAGCTACCAATTTTCAAGACTGATGGGCAGCTGGTGATTTCAACCACGGGTGCCTGAAAGCAGTTTCGCAATTTTCAGATACTTCTATAGTACGTTAGAAAAGAGCGCCGCAATATACGTACCGAAATGTTTAGCGGCCTTCGTGTGTGATAAGTAGGTCACAGAGTTCTAGTTCGACGTTTCCTGATCAGATTAGATTGACTGGAGCGTGATGTCCGGTAGCCAGTATGGTATCATGGCTGTTAATGAAGTCTTCATTCGTGTCAGCCACTATTTTTGCAAGACATCAATAGTGACAGGAAAGTAGACATTGGATTGGTCAAGCTGACTGATGACTCGGTTGTAAAAGGAGACAGAACGGAATGTCATTTTGTTGTTGTTTCAAACGCCCCAGTGTAAATGAGTCGGAATGCGTCACTAGACATCACACAACTATGTTAACGAATACGTCAGAGATGTCGAAAGTCATCTGCATCGCAAGAGACTTCAATCCTCGGACGAAGCAGTCTGATCTACCGTTTGAAATCCCCTATCTCTCACGGAGGATCTGAGACCTGAACCTAATGTTGAATGATGTAATGTATCGGACGTCAAGATCTGTGATACAGCGTTGAACGACTTCGGACGTAAACGCTCAAAAATGGTCGAGTGCCATAAAAGCAGAGAAATACACATTTTAGAGGGTCTGGTTGGGAGGACAAAAACGGTATTACTTCCCCCTTTGCTTCGTTTCTTATGGCGTTCAGTCGTTTTTTAACACACGCTACATCTGAGAGCACGTTGCAGCACAGTTGTCTCGCAAAGCTGCGAAACAGCGAAATACGATACGTTGCAGCGGTATTAGTCTGGTCCGTTCAGTTCTCTTCTGGATTATCTTTCAGTTTCACTTCCGGAAAAGTGCAAATGGTGACCCGGCAAAATCTGAGCGATTGGCCTGAGAACTAATTTCTGCTTATTCAAAAATGATTAGAATTCAGCCGTTCAGTTCTCTTCTGGATTATCTTTGTCAGTTTCACTTCCGGAAAAGTGCAAAGTGACCCGGAAAAATCTGAGCGATTGGCCTGAGTACTAATGTCTGCTTATTCAAAAATGATTAGAATTCAGCGTTGGCGTTCAAGCCATCAATGATACTGAGCTAAGCGTGCTGAAACCATGTTATACGGCGCATTTTGACATCCGAACCGAACTATTTCAAGCGTCCCATAACTGAACATAGCGAAGAAAATGCTCAGACGGGACCGAGTTTGAGGTTGTAGTGACTCACGGGCGGCTTACTGTCCTATGTAGATCTTTCTCGTCTTTGAACTGTTCTTCACTTCCAGCTATTTGTTTATTCGTCTGAAAGATATTTTAAGTGCATATCGTGTTCGAATTCACTTCTGTCCCCGTAGACTGGCTGACAGCTGCAAGCTGAATCCCAGTTCTAGGTACTGATAGCTGTGGTTGAAGCGCAAACCTGCTGACCGGAAGGTCTGGGGTTCGAACCCAACCCTAGCATTTTGACTATTGCTGGCTGGGCTTGAGAAACTCGGCAGTATTTCGACCCTCGGGTGGCATGGAAGCTAGGCACCATGAGGACATGCCCACATACTGTTTGGTGTTGCTGTCAAACCGACTTCAATCCAACAGGCTCGTTCGAGTGTCATTCGGTGATACGTTCGATTCAACCATCTACGGACTGCTTCCAATCAGAGTGGTGTGAGAGCCTGTTTTCAACAGTCGATTTTTTGCGGACGACTTCTCCATTGACTCATCCAGGTGAGTCAAATAGGTGAATGCGTAAGGTCAGCCGGCATTGGTAAAACTCCTGCTTGGACTGACGGAGCCGTTCCTCTAGCAAACCGGTCATCGTCCAAGCATCTTTACTGGCTTCACGATGTCATCCGAGCCCGACCCTGTCCACATTATTGAGACGGAGGCGCAAAAGTCCCGTGAACGCAGTACAGCTTTCCCGCCCTCTTTCGCCAACGCGGGATCCTTTGGTGAAGAAAGTCTCTCGTAGAGTGCTGGAGTAGGAATGCGCTACCTCTGTCGGCGTTGAACATGAAGTGAGTTCGATTGAGCCAGCTGGAAGCTATGTCAGTTGAGGGGCTCGAGTTACGCGTCTCAAGGTCAACTTCAACTGTTATCGCTGTTGAGATATGCTCAGCCACTTACTGCTCACCTTTAAATGGTATCTCCCAAGTCGATTAGCATGTGAACTCACTGTGTCTTAAGGCTGCCTGTTGCTGGCAGTTATTTTAACTGTACCGGCGAAAGAGATCTGAATGTACCTAATGGACCCCCTGAAACTTTACCTCTGCTAGCAGTCCCTGCACATCCGAACCGAGAATAGCACTTACACTTCCAATTTAGCTTCACCATCTCAAGTGACGAGGGTGTCGGAACGACCATATCACTAAAACCATTCAGTCAGAAAATTTAACCCCTCCTGGCACACAATCGTCAGAGGCATGGCTCAAACCGTTGTCGCGGCAATCACGCCAACGGGTGGGTTGGCAACCACACGTTCACCCTCCGTTGGAACCAACGCCACATGGTAGTTTACTCTAGCTCGGAACAATGGATGCGTTAACGTCAACCATTCCATTAACAATGAATGACATCGTAATAGGTCACTATTACGATCGACAGCCACTATTGGCCATTCCTCTGATCAACTGCGCGTGCTAGTGGGCACTGAAATGGACACCTGTGGTTCACTGTTGCCTAAACATGCGGATTAAATTGACTGAAGACCTCTAAAGGAAAAGTTGAAGGGATGTAAGCCTAGATTAACCCTAGCAACCGGGATGCATACAACTCCAGCACTTAGCTAACATTTATATATGCTGACAGGATGAGCACCCAGGCGTCGTTTAGCCGCCAACTTTTAGTGTTTCCGGTCCACGTGCCCTTAGGTTGGACTTTGAGATGTGACTGAGGTGCGCTTGATGATCGAGACGGAAAAGACAGGCTACATTAATGACTAATTTATGGCGAATGCCCCATTCGCTGGAATAGCTCGTAATGCTGCTGCCCGCACAGGTGGCGGGATGTTAGGCCTGCACAGACCGTGACCCTATTCCGACCCCAGCAAAGATCCCAACACACCGCCACCCCAAAATTTACTAACCAGCACTCACCGAACGACCAGATGTTCGGAATGCACACACCGCCACCCCGAAATTTACTAACCAGCACTCACCGAACGACTGCGGTAAATGTTCTCCAACGAATAGCTATTCCACACATTAGTGCTGGTACTGTTAAGTGCGCTAACCTGTTAAGCCCAGTACACAAAAATACCTCTCCTAATGACCCCACTTTCAATGTGCTGTGGCGGCGTACACCAATGCAGGATCCGTAATGATCAGCTGAAGACAGGTAAATTACCTTGAAGGAACAGCATGAAGGCCGCACATTCAACGAGGACCTACGACAGGTCACGCGTAAGAGGTTTTGAGCACTGATCGACTGCAATGCCCGTGACCCGGGATATGGGTCGAACACCGTGCCTTCAGCTTGATGACTGCTCACCTACGTGCTAGAAGGGGTGTGTACAAGCCAAACAGTGCTATCGCACGACAGTACATCGGCTTTCTGAAAAAATAAACATCGGTAAAATCAGTGATCGATTAGCCAAGAAACAAGTGAAGTTTTATCCCTGATTACTCGCCGCGTTTGCCTGGAGTCAGACTTCCTATGGCCTATCGGAAGGTAGTAGGAACCTTTCCACATTCGGATTATCCAACTTGTTCCCACAACCTACGAAAAACGGAAGCTAAGGGTGGTCCTACCGGAGAGTCAACGTAACCCCACCGATTGGGCTGCTAGTAGGATAACAGAGGAAGAACTGTTGGCTGTCGGTAGTGTTTGATAAGGAGCAGTACTTTAGTACCTTAAATATCGGTTCAACTGAAGAGAACCTCACTGCGCGTTCGGTCGGAGATCAGGAAAAGGGAAATTTTCCAAGTTTGTCCGAGTCCGTCGTTAACACCAAGTGAAATAAAGAAAGATCGAAACCTAGAGACCGTACCTAATTAAAGAGCGCCAAATAGGGCAAAATCAATAGTAGGCTGCAGACAGCTACTGGTCGGCACCAGTGATGTCTGGGTACCGAAAAGGACTAACATTGGAGGTATTCCCATAAACTACCTGGAACAACATATCACTATACGTGAGCTGACAGATCAATCAAATGGGCCGTAACGCTGCCAAGCACGAGGAAGGGAAGATCGCTCAGCTATAACACCCTTCCGGTGCCTAGCTGTCATGCTACCCTAAGGAAGCACGAGGGCCGGGATACTACCAGGTTGCCCAAGCCTAGACAGGGGAAGTCGAGAGGTCGACGTCGGGTTCGAACCACGGAGCTTCCGGTTAGCAAATTCACTGAGCCATCTCGTCCCCAAAAAGGGGAAGAACTATTCAATCTATCCTTAGTCTGGATGCAAACGAGTGAGATTTCCTCCTTCAGGCTGAACTTCCAAACCAAGCTGTCATTTCGGCATAAGAGCTCTGTGATTCATGCACACAGCCAAAGTCCAGTAAACCTCTATTCACGTGCGGTCTAATAACCGGAAAAAGTTGGGCCGTACATGATGCCATGATAGCGCAAAGCTTTAAAAACCGTCACCCCATACATAGTCAGAACCATGTAGTGAATGGACTTCCCTAAGCAATAGTTACCGAGCTATCAGAAGGTAGCGATCGATGATGGTCCGTAATAATTGTGAATGCTGACTGGCCACGGACAAACAACCAATAACCAAAAGAAAAAGTCAAGAATTCTTCGTTCAGATTATGCTGGTGTTTGAGTGACACGAGGAACCCAAAGCGTCTCCGAAAAATATACAAGCCTGTAAAAGGCGACCGGGGTTGAATGTGTGGGGGATTATACAGGGGAAAGGAGGCTGAGGTAGCCGCTATGTACAACTGAAGCATTTACAACATCAACGAACAAAAGCACATTTCTACAAAACTCTAACAGAACCTCATACCACCGCTTATGGAAACATAGAGAATACCCTCTCTTTGAACAAAACTGAGATGACAAACTTTCCATCCGTTGGTAAATAGTGCTCACAAGAGGACAGTACATTGTCCAAATGTCTAGACTGAAAAAAAGGACAAATTGGCACCGAAGTGGAAGAAAAGTGAGGGTAGGAAAGAGTACTAGGTAGGTAACTGAAAAAACTGCGTGGGGCTCACACCATTAGCGGTTTGAAGATGAGGACTGTGAACGCCAGGATCCCTGGACACACAATCGCGGGCCAAAGAACACACTTTAGGTGGAGGTAATAGCGAAGGGTCCGTCAACCGCAGCCTGTCATCCGAAGGATTTAAAAAATGCTGACCAAGTCCATTGGCACTGGTGACTGAGGCCTCTGCACCGCGGGATCTGGGGAAGTTGGTAGGCTGGAGTGAGTCAAGCCTGGCCAAGTTCCGCCAGAAGCGATTGGGTGTTGAAGCCGCCTTATTGTCATTTACGGAGAGCAAACTTTGTTTGTTGCTTCCAGGTGGCTATTCGGGTATAGGGAAAATGATACTGTTACGTAAAATAGTGAATTAATGGGGTGTGGGAGAGTAAGAACACGTTAGTGTTGCTAACTTGCAACAGTAAGTCACGAAAAACATAAATTGAATATCAAACGTTTAGTGAACCAGCTCACCGAAGAACTTGGGGAAACCGGCTTTTTTGGAAAGTTCTTATTCGTTTCAACTTGGACGTCACAATTTTCAACCGCGAGATCACTATGATCTCCAGGCCGACGGCACTCCAGTAAGGTTGGGTATATACCGTTGGAACCAAGTGGCAAGGATTGTGAAGAATCAGGACTATTTTTTTCCGGGAACTGTACAGGTGCAGCCGATTCCGAAGAACATGGAGACGGAGAGTTTGTTGTTCGGAAATTTGGTGCGCAAGGAGCGCTTAGCCGCCAAGGATTATGCCGTAAAGGTTCAAACGATGGTGGATGTGGAAATTCTGTACAAATGGGCCACTGAAATGAAGGCCGACGACGATGACTGGAAAGCAGGACAGGTTTTAGTCTTCGAAGTAGGTCGACATCCTTGGCTTGTGATTGTCTGGTATGCAAATGCGTGGGTAACTCAGCATTCGGAGACAAATATGTGCAACCGATCGTCTTCCTTTGGTCGTAACTTCGCAAGTAATCCACTAGGTCAGCAGGGGGTTGTAGACGATCACATACGATTCTGCCACCGCGACCCAAACGACGACGGATGTAGCCCGTGTACGTCCGTCGTTCAGGGTGACACACCGATGGTACTGTGGTCAGACTATACCGCAAATGAGGATAATGAGGCTCACGGGGTTGTGCGTTAGCTTGGTCACCGACGACGTCCCTAAGATAAAAAAGATAGGTACCAAAAATACCATTATTATAAGCATCAAACCAAACAATTTATAACATATTCCATGCTGGAGTGAAAACGTAAGCGACCCTGAAACAAGATAGTCCAGCTAGCTGAATTACCATTCGCATAGATTGAATTACAAAGAGGAAAGTGGGATTTCAGTAAGCGGACTACCCCATCTTATTTCATCATTTCGTTGACAGTGTTGGACATGATACCATGGTACATTGCTTATGGCCGAGGTACCGGAGTGACAATAAACTAACAAGGAGGTTAGAAACACTTGATAACGAACGCGGGACCAGTAGTTGGGGACACATGAAGCAATAATCAAACAGATCCGAATAACTAGCTAGTACACTAGAAACGCAGAGGTCGAAGGTCCAACCACGATGCACGGCCTGAAAATCCGATAAAGCCACGTGAGCGATATCTGACGGTAACGGTCAACATGACGAATCATCATCATCATCATCGACAGCATGACATC